GCTGGCCTTGGGCTCACTTTGTAGCCCAGGCTGGTCTCAAATTCATAACAATCCTCCTGCCTCAGCCTCCTGAGTGCTGGGATTACAGGCATGCGCCACCATGCCTGGCTGTGATTTTTTTTTTCTTTCAGTTTTTTATAGTAAATCTTTGAGAAATAGACGGCAAACATATTTTCCCACACTGTGGGCTGTCTCTTCACTCTGTTGGCGATTTCTGTTGTTGCTGTGCAAAAGTTTTTTAATAAGATGAGATCCCCGGGGCTGGGGAGATGGCTCAGCAGAATAAGCGCTTATCTGGCAAGTGCAAGGGCCTGAGGTTAATCCCTGGTTCCACCAAAAAAACAAAAAAAACATGAGATCCCAGTTGTTGATTGTTTTTGATGGTTCCTGAGTTTTATTCATAAAGTCTTTGCCTACACCCCTGTCTTCAATTGTTTTATCTTTCAGTAGATTCATTTGTTTTTAATTATTTTAGAACGGGGTCTCACTACAGAGATTGGACTTGTAATGATCCTTTCTGTTTTTTAGCCTCCCAAGAGCTGGGATTACAGGCACGAGATTGGACTTGTAATGATCCTTTCTGTTTTTTAGCCTCCCAAGAGCTGGTATTACAGGCACGCACCGCCATGTCCAGTCCAATTCGCCCTCTCAGTGTGCTGGGGGCGGGCTCAGCAGGGCAGGCCCAGGGATCAAACCCCCGCCCCTGCATCTGCTTGCAGGTGCTTTAATCTGCTGAACTATCTGTCTGGCCCTTCCAGCACCGTTTATTTCTTCCCGTGAACATGTCTGGCACCTTTGTCAAAGATAAGGTGGCTGAGTGTGTCTGCAGTTGTTTCTGCATCTTCTAATCTGTTCCACTGATCGTTGGGTATGGTCTTTTTGTTTTTTGTTTTTTCCAGTACCATGCTGTTTTTATATGGTAGCTTTCTGATATCATTTGAAGTTGGGGATTGTGACACCCCCTGCCTTGCCTTTGCTGCCCAGAACTACCTGTCTCTTCTGGTTCAAAACGAATTTTAGGGTTGTTTTCTCTAATTCTGTGAGATATGCTGTTGGAATTTTTGATCAGAATTGCATGAAATCTGTGTAACAGTTTTTTTTTTTTTTTTTTTTTTTTTTTTTTTTGATGGAACCCCCAACTCAGGCCCTGCGCTTGCCAGGGAAGCGCTTATTCCACTGAGCCATCTCCCCAGCCCCCTGCGTAAACAGTTTTGAAAGTAGGGTCATTTTTACTATATTGGTTCTTCCTACCCAAGAGCAAGGGGTGTCTTTCCATTTTCTGATATCCTCTTCAATCTCTTTTTTCAGAGTACTGTAGTTTCAATATAGAGGTCTTATACTTCCTTCATTAGATTGATTCCTAGGTTTTGTTTTTGTCTTGTTGGATGTTATTGTGAAAGGTGTTTCCCTAATTTTCTCTCTCTGTGAGTTTGCTTTTCATGTATAGGAAGGCTTTGATTTTTGTTTCTATTTTGGTGGAACCAGGGATTGAACTCAGGCCCTTGTGCTTGCCAGGCAAGCACTTATTCTACTGAGCCATCTCTCCGACCCCAGGCTTTGATTTTTGAGTGTTGGTCAGCTAGTTTCTCTTGAATGACAAAGCCCAGCTCTACACACACCAGCTCTACCTATAGCCCATTGGTCAGAGCAGGGTCACACAGTCAGCCCTAGCTGCAAGGGAGCCTGGGAAATGTAGTCTCGCTGGCAGCCATCGATCTGGCTATACATGTTACATACCAGAAGTCCACAGGCAGCCATGCAAAACCCTAGCCTTCTTTGCCACAAATTGGATCCTGATTCTTGTTGTTGTGCTGCCCCTCAGCCAGCTTTAAGCGCCCGGTGGTGATCCTGGGGCCCGTGGCAGACATCGCCATGCAGAAGTTGACAGGAGAGATGCCTGAGAAGTTTGAGATTGCAGGTAAATCAAGTTGGAGCAAATGGACTACGTGTGCAGCATGAACCGGGGCAGGCAAGATCCCCGGGGGCGCTGAAGGATCGATGGCTATGGAAACAGCAATGCCAGTGCAGGGCTCCAAATCCACAGGTCTCAAGCCAGACAGGTCCACTTTCTGCATTCACAGTGCTAGGGATGACCCAGAGCTTGGCATGTGCTAGGCAAGCACTCTCCTCAGAGCTGCACCCCCAGTCTGTTGTATTTACTTTTTAAAATTTGAGACAGGATCTTGCTAAGGTGCCCAAGCTGGCCTCAAACTTGCAATCAGCCTGCCTACTTCAGTCTCTGGGGTGCTGGGCCCTAAGTAAGATTGTTATCCTTTGGAAGGCCGGCTCTCTGGGGAGGCAGAAGGCCCTCTCTTCTTGCATTCTTCTGGCCCCTGTGGACTCAGCAACATCTAGGGAGCTTTTCCAAAAGCCAAACTTGTTTCCAGGAAAGGGAACAGAGCAGGAGGCACCTCCTGGAAGGAGACTAGAAGTGGCCCAGGGAGCAGCATCAGGTGCCACGTCCTTAGTCATTAGGGAAGTCCAAGTCTGTGCCACCTGAGATGCTACCCCCCCACCCTGTGACTGGAGTAAAACAAAAGATCAGAAGATAGTGGCAGGGCTGGGCGTGGTGGTGCATACCTGTAACCCTAGCACGCAGGAGGCTGAGGCAGGAAGAGCGTTGTGAGGTCGAGACCAGCCTGGGCTACAAAGTGAGCTCAAGGCCAGCCTGAGCTGCATAGCGAGACCCTGTCTCAAAAAGACAAAAAATAAAAGAAAGATTGTGACAGCTGGAACCTGTGCCTGGCTAGTGGGAAACACCGTACTGCTTTCTTCAGCAACAGATCAGTCCCTCTCCAGGAACCAAACTTTGAGGCTAAGGCAGGAAGATTGTGAGTTCAAGCCTAACCTGGGCAACTTAGTGATATCCTGTCCTTAAAAGTGGGGGGAGGGGGCGGCTGGGAGTGTAGCTCAGTGGTAGAGCACATGCCTAGACACTGGTGGGGGGTGCTAGGTCTATTCCTGGTACCCATGGTTGGGGAGAGGGAAGAAATCAAACATCACATGGGTGAGGTGACACTAATCCTAGCACTCCGGATGCTGAGGCAGGAGGATCGCCACAAGTTCAAGGCCAGCCTGGGCTACAAAGTGAAACCCTGTCTCAAAAAAAAAAAAAAAAAAAGATCGAATATTGAATTATCATATGCTCCAGCAATTCCACTTCTGGGTGTCTCTGCACAAAATAATTGAAGGCAGGGACTCAAGTAGATGCACGCACACCCATGGTCTGCAGCAGCACAACTTACAACCGCCAGAAGTGGGAAAAGTCCACACGCTCTCTCATAGAAGAACGGGTCACATAGTAGGATTCCTCTGCATGCTGGGTATTACTCAGGGCACCATGAAGCGACTGTTACTTTCCCCTTCCACAGAAAGTGTGTCTCGGGCTGACAGCCCCTCCAAGATCGTCAAACTAGACACTGTGCGGGTGATCGCAGAGAAGGTGAGTATGTCCCCGCTGGAGTCCTGTGTCAGGAAGGCAAACTGGGTCCAGGGCCTTCAGCCACGGGGCCCGGCCTGCTCCCATGCCCCACCAGTGAGCTCTCCCACGGAGCCCCCGACAGAGGTGTCATGGTGTAGTCTGAGCGGTGGCGATGCTGACCCATGGCATGAGCGTCGGGTCTATCCTGACCCCACACCCTCTGTCTTTCTGTTCTTGTCCTGTCTGCTGCACGTTGTCTCTTCGGTGTGTCTTCTCTTGATCCTCACCCCGGGGGACAGGACAAACATGCGCTCCTGGACGTGACCCCGTCGGCCATTGAGCGCCTCAACTATGTGCAGTATTACCCGATTGTGGTCTTCTGCGCCCCTGAGAGCCGGCCGGCACTCAAGGCCCTGCGCGAGTGGCTGGCGCCCGCCTCCCGCCGCAGCTCCCGCCGGCTCTACACACAGGCCCAGAAACTGCAGAAGCACAGCAGCCACCTCTTCACAGGTGGGGGTCACCAGGGCCCCAGGGTGGCTCCTGGCTAGGTCCCCTTGCCAGGCTGATGCCCCCCCCTCCTCCAGCCACCATCCCCCTGCTCGGGACCAGTGAATCCTGGTACCAGGAACTCAAGGCTGTGATCCAGGAGCAGCAGACGCGGCCCATCTGGACTGCCGAGGACCAGGTATGTGGCTGGGCTCTGTGGCTGTCTGGGGTCTCCCTGAGGGTTGGGGCACAACTGATTCAGGACTTGGCTTGTAGCTGGGTGAGATGAAGCTGGAGGCCTCTGGTTGGGAATAGGGTGTGGGTCTTGGCTTAGCCAGGGTGTCCACAGCAGTGTCTGCCCACCGCAGCTGGACAGCCCCTCTGAGGACAACCTGGACCTTCCTGGCCGTGGTCTGGCTGATAGCTCTGCGGACCTCAGCTGTGACAGCCGGGCCAACAGCGACTATGAGGAGACAGACGGCGAAGGTGGTGTTTACACAGATGGCGAGGGCTACACGGATGGCGAGGGGGGACTCCACACAGATGTGGATGAGGAGCCCCCAGCGCCAGCCCTGGCCCGGTCCTCAGAGCCGGTGCAGATGGAAGAAGAGCCCCCGAGCCTGAGGGATCATGGGAGAATCGCGGCTCACCATGCTGTCCAGGTGAGTAGGACCTGGGGTGGTCCCAGCAAGGGTGTCAGGATGGGATTTCACACAGGGTAGGGACACATGATGGCAGACCTCAGTTTATGGGCTTCAGACCCGAAGTGTGCCCAAGTGAAGCCAGTGATCAGATTAAAGCTAGAAGACCTCCCCTTGGTAACCAGATGTGGTGGCACACACCTGCAGTCCCAGGACTGGGAGGCTGAGGTAGGAGGATCGCTGAGAGTTCGATGCTAGGTTGGGCTACAAAGTGAGCTCGAGGCTAGCCTGAGCTACATAGCAAGTCCCTGTCACAACAACAACAACAAAAGCTTAGTAACCATTGGATGGCATCCATATTGTGGGTACCACAAGTGCTTGTGACCCTTATTGGCAACAGAACCTGCCCACGTTCCCCACAGACTTTATCCATTTAAGGAGCCGGGGTCTCTAAGCTGCCCAGGCTGAGCCTGAACTTGCAGTCCTTATGCCTCGGCCTCCCAGAACGCTGGGATGACAGGTGTGTACCTAGCTTTTTTGTAGACTGCAAGGCATCTGTGAGGGACAAGTAACACCTGATACACCTGATACCACGTACACACAGCATGGACAGTTGGTGCACTGTGTTATTTAGAAGGGTAAGATAGGAGTCTGGGGCTGGTGAGATGGCTCAGTGGTCTAAAGCACCTACTTAAAACAAGCTTAGCAAAAAAGCACAGGGACTGCGGTTCAATCCCCCAGCACCACATGCCAGCTAGCCCCGCCCCCAGGTGGGCTGAGCTGACCACACACACACAAATAAATAAAATTAAAAAAAAAAAAAAAAACAAAGATAGGAGTCTGCACATGTTCAGCAGATTTTCTGCTTAATATTTTGCATCCACGGTTGGTGGAGTCCATGCACATGGAAGCTCAGGACACAAGGGCAGAGCACCGTGACCTCTGTGTCACTTTCCTCATCTGGCACACGTGACAAAGACCCTAACATCACAGGGTTGTGAAAATCCAAGTCCTCAGCCCAAGTCTCGGTTTACTGTAGTCAGATGTTTAAATGCTTACTCAAATGTCCGTTCCTCTAAATGGGGCTGCCACTGGGAACTCAGCTGCCCCTCCCCGGACCTCCCCTCAGGAAATACTTGGCTCTCTGGGACGCTGAGACAGGAGGATCACAAATCTGATCCCAACCTGGGCAACTTCACAAGACCCTATCACAAGACAAAAAATAAAAAGGGTCTGGGGTTGTAGTTCAGGGCAAGGGCCTTGGGTTCCATCCCCAGTATTGGGGAAGAACACTGATGTCTTTGATTAAAATGCGCTCCCTGGGGCTGGTGAGATGGCTCAGTGGTCTAAAGCACCTACTTAGAACAAGCTTAGCAAAGCACAGGGACCACGGTTCAATCCCCCAGCACCACATGCCAGCCAGCGCCGCCCCCTGGTGGGCTGAGCTGGCCACACACACACACACACACACACACACACACACACACAAATAAATAAATTTTAAAAAAAATTATAAAAAAAAAAAAAATGCACTCCCTGGAGCTTGGCAGTGCCCAGCCTGCTCCACTGTGTATGGCGGGCTTGGTCAGGAGATGGTCGTGTTCTCAGCACTTTGCCCATGTGAACCCACTCACCAACTGGCACCGCAGCAGCCCCTGGGGAGGCCGGGTGTCTTGCTAGCAGGCTGGGCGAGCTCATCGAAGGTCCCAGCCTCAGTTTCACACTTAAAGTTCCGAACAACTTAGAAAGGTGGGAGGCACCGTGGGTCCAGACGTACTGTGCCCTGGGGGTTGACACGAACCTTTCTCTATCCCTCCAGGTGGACAGGTGGCACCCCAAGGGCCAGCCACGCCAGGACAGCATGCGGTAAGGGCCTCTGTGCTTGAGTGGGGCCTCAGCCCTTCCCGTGGGTTCAGACAATGGGCTTGAAAAAGCTGTCTAGGACTGACCTGTGGCTTCTTGATGCCTATAACCTAGTGGCCATGACAGAGTGACAGAGCCACTCCAGCCCACTAAATTCGGGGCCAAAGGAATTAGGATCCTCTTAAAGGATTAAAAGGCTTCTTAGAGGGGACTCTGGAGCTGGGGGCTTTGTAGGCTATGTAGGAGTTTGCTCCCAAGGCCCTATCTGTGCCTGGCTAATCTTCCTCTTCTAGCAGTCAGCCCCAGTTCATGGCTGCTGAGTCTTGTCTTCCCCACCTCAGGTCTCTGCTCTTACTTCCCAACCCCCAGGACTTATGAACGGGAAGCCCTGAGAAGAAAGTTTACCAGAGCCCGAGACGCGGACTCCTCAGATGAAGAAGGCTACGACTGGGGTCCGGCCACTGACCTGTGACCCCACCTGGGTTGCCAGCCTGCAGGCCCTTCCTTTGCCTCTCTGGGCTCAAGATTCTGTCTCCCACGCAGAGCCTAGAGCCCTCCTGCCGCGCTCTTGGCCTTTAATAAATACTATTTTCACAGCACTGGTTTCCAGGAAGGGCCGGGGCAGAGCCAAGCGGGGGTTACTGAATAAGCCTTTTAATATCTTACATTAGAAAGCAGGAGGGGCGGAGTCCCAGGGCTAAGGCGTGGCGCAGGGGCGGGCGGGCAGCCTCACAGGTACACGGGCTGCTCCTGGCCTGTGAGCAGGCGGTACGTGGCGGCTGGCATAGTCTTGATGTGTACCTCGTCGTGGGCCTCCGTGAGCAGCTCGATGATGCGGTTGTGCGGCATGGCCACCACGCTCTGCCCGTTGATCTCGATGATGCGGTGGCCCACGCGGATGCCCCCGCGTTCAGCGATGCCACCGCGGAGAAGATTGCAGATCTAGGGGGAGGGGGCATTCTCAGGAGACTCGGTGGGCAGGCTCAGGCGCCCCGCCCACCACGTGGCCCCGCCCATGCAGCCCCGCCCCTCACAATGCCATCTTCCACGCAAAATCCCAGCTGCTCCCGCGAGTGCAGTCGGCGGATGATGGCCGTGGTGACCGGCGGGCAGTGCACAATGCTGAGCGTCACCGACGTCTGTGGCTTCATCTCCTGCGGGATGGGAGGCAGTGACCTCACTTGGCAGCTTTGGCAAGCTGCGGCCTCCCGGGGCCTCAGTTTCCCCACCCATCAGAGGAGCCCTGGAACCCCAACTCACACGCACGGCAGCCTGGCACGCGGCGAGCGGCAGCCCCACCAGGCTGGCCCCGTTCACGGCCATGACGCGGTCCCCGATGCTGAGCGCGCCCGAGCGCTCGGCCGGGCCTCCGTGCAGCAGGTTGGCGATGACGGCCGTGGGCAGCAGCGAGCCCCAGCCCGACTCCACCAGCGCCACGCCCAGGGCCTCTCCGCGCCGCTTCTCAATGCGCACCTGGGACAGAGAGGGGGCTGCTGGGCCACTGGGGGTGCGGGCTGCGCGGGTGGGCAGGCGGGGCTGCACCTCACCTCCCTGCAATTCTCCTGGTTGGAGAAGTGAGCCAGGTCGCCGTTGTGCAGGTGGCCGGGCCTGGCACCCCCCTGGCCAGGCCGCGTGCCCACCTGGCTCGGGTCGATGCCGCTGTCGCACAGGAACTGGCTGTAGGCCACCGCGAAGGCCTGGCCAATGGCCTGGGCAATGAGCTGGGCCTAGGGGGAATCAACGTGTCCAAGAGCTTCCCATGCCCTCCTGTAGCTCCCGTCCCCAGAGCTGCACCCTCCTGGGACATGATCCTCAGGGCACAGCCTCCTGCCCCCGGGGCTTGCAGGGAGGACTGCCACCCTGAGAAGTATCTGGGGAGAACAGAGAGGAGGTATCACCCCTCAGCAAAGGCTGTGGGAGGGCTCTCAGGACAACGGGCATGAACGTATGTCCCATGAGCTAGGCGCAGATCAGCAAGACTGGGCATTCACACGTAGGGCCTTGTCTATGAACTGCTACCCATCCAATAAAGCCCAAGCCCCAGTATCCCTCCACCCAGGAGCCTCCTCAGGTTTGCCAGGAAGAGGATTCCTTTCTCTTGGCCCTGACTGCAGAGACTTGGAGTGTCTGTATCTTAACCATGAGGCTTAAGATCACCAAAAGCCATAGCCTGGTCTTAGGTGACTTCCTCAGCCCAGTCTGTGCCCAAGAGGAAGAAAGGCTGGGGAGGCAGGGAGACAGCAGGGGTGACTATCACAGCCTGGTTGGGACCTGGCCGCTCACATCCTCTGAGTGGAAGACATGGCACAACATCTTGTACAGGCAGCGGTCACGGTCCTGAGTTCCGGGCTTCCGGGCTAGCCGCCGCCGGGCCATGAGCACCAGCACAGGGCCGATGTCGGCGATGTAGGAGATGGTCTGCAGGGCGTGGTCCATCATGGCCTCCTGGAGAGAGGGCAGTGAGTGGGGCCTTACCTGGCCAAGCCCCTGCAGCCTGAGCCCAGCCCAGTCCTACCTGGGAGTCGGCCATGAGCACCTTGATCCTCTTGGTGGACACGAAGAGGTCCACTTCCGTCATGGGCTGTGTCTCCCCGTCAGGGGCCTGGGGACAGGAGGGAGAGGTGGAGCCCCGAGTCCACCGCCTGAGGCCCTGGGCCCCGCCCTCAGCAGCCTCATACCTTGACGCGGTCCATGGCCTCCTGGGCCTGGGCCATCCGCACACTGGGGGGTGGGTTCCGCTCGGACAGCAGCTGTGTGGAGCCCAAGTACTTGGCCCCAAATAGGATGCCGTCCAGGAGGTCCTCGTGGTCACAAGGCCCAGGGACTGAGGGTGACAGGGCAAGCTCAGCCCTGGGGTGCCCCTAGGCCTGCCCGATTCCATCCTGTAGCCCTGCCACCCGGTTCCCAGAAGCCTGGAGCCCTTGGTCAGCCTGCCTCGGGCAGTGTAACCTGGGCTGGGACCCTATGAGGTCTAGAACTCTGCGACCCGGCTGGAATGAGATGACCCTGCCCCAGAGCCTAAAGCCAGCGATGTTCTACAACTGGAGTCAGCTCACAGCTCTAAAATCCCCCAACTTCCCCACTCCAGGCATCCAGTCCCTGATTATGGAAGGCTTCAAGGGCAACAACTCCCAGATGGCTCCAGTCCTGGATGTTGGAACTTGCCGACAGGTCTCAGGGCACAGTCTGGGCAGGCCACCCAGACACCTGCAGTGCCTCAGAAACACCTGTCCTCTGTACCCCTGAGGTTTCTGCTGCCTGCTTGCTTCCTTCCTTTCTTTTTTATCTTTTTTGAGACAAGGCCTCGCTATGCAGCTCAGGCTGGTCTTGAGCTCGCTTTGCAGCTCAAGATAGTCTCGCATTTACAATAATCCTCCTGCCTCAGCCTCCAGAGTGCCATCACACCCAGCTGCCACTTTCTTTTTCTTTTTTCTTTTTTTTTTTCAATTTTAGGAGAGGGTCTACAGGGTCTACAGCTTCTTGCTACATAGCTCGGACTCATAGTGATCCTCCTGTTTTCAGCCTCCCAAGTGCTGGGATTATAGGCGCACGCCACCACGCCCAGTCTCAAAGGCCATCTCAGCATGCAGACCGGGCAGCACGCCACCCTGGGAATCAAACCCCAGCTGTACGAGCTGCCTAAGTGGGGGCTTTAGTTTGCTAAGCTATCTGGCTGGCCCTCTTTTTTTTGTTTTTTGAGACAGGGTCTTGCCATGTAGCCCAGGCTGGCCTTGAACTCACAGCAATCTTTCTGCCTCAGCCTCCCGATTGCTGGGATTACAGGTGTGTGCCACCATGCCTAGTTTTTCTTTTTGTGCCAGAAATCAAACTGAGGACCTTGTGCTTGCAGGTAGGTGCCACGCCATTGAGCTATACCCCCAGCTCAGTGCCCATTCTTTACAGTGGTGCTGTTGTTTTTCTTTTTAATATATCTAAGAAATTCAATGACACATATGGCTTGCATTTTATTTCTACTAGTTCTGCTGTAGAACTTCCTGATTACACCAGAACTGGATACCTCTGTTCAGGGTTCTGGTGTTCTAGAACAGGAGATAAACTCTGCTTGCTCCATGTTCTAGAATTCTCCAATCTGAGTAGAACCAGGTTAGGTGTGTTCATTGCCCTAATCTGCTCAAGTCCCTTTAATCTAGGACCATAAGTAGCTAGGTGTGGTGGTATACACTTGTAATCCTGGCACTTGGAGACTGAGACAGGAAGTGCAAGAGTTCAAGGACAGCCTGAACTACATAGTGAGACCTTGTCTCAAAATACCAAAACCACTGGGCATGGTGACACATGGGCTCCAGGCTGCCTCTTTCAAGTGTTCTCTGCAGCCTGGAGCCCAGCATGGGGACAGCCCAGACCCTCTTCTGTCTTCTAAGAGTCCTGACACCAGACACAAAATTCTTCTAGAGTCCTGATTCCCGGCAAAAAAAGAAAAACTAGGCATGGTGGCCTATGCCTACAAACCCAGCACTCGGGAGGCTGAGGCAGGAGGATCACTGCCAGTTTGAAGCGAGCCTGGGCTACAAAGTGAGCTGAAGGCCAGCTTGCACTACATAGCAAGACCCTGTCTCAAAAAAGACAACCCCAACCCCCCAAAAAAATCTAGAACCAGAAGCAAAACACCAAACTCTGGAGTTCCCTAGGAGAATCACAGCGCCACCCATAGTTCTAGAACCTTCTCAGTGCCATAGGACCCAAAAGCCCCCTCATCACCACCTCAGAACTTGTTACTGATTTAATTCAAATTAGTGTGAACAGAACATTCCAGATGCATAAAGCCTCCAATCACAGCAATCCTCCTGCCTCAGCCTCCCAAGTTGTGGGATTGGGGCTGAGGATTTAGCTCAGTGGTGAAGCACTTGCCTGGTAAGTACTAGGTTCCAAGTTCAATTCCTGATGCCCCCCAACCCCCTGCAAAAAAAAGGTGGAGCATGAGGCAGCCCAGAGAATTTACAGGCCCATGAACTTGCCAAGTGCTGGGATTACGGGTGTGGGTCACCATGACTTTTTGAACTATGCAAAACTACAAAAGCCCCTCTCAGCTCCCAAGGCCTGCTAGCACCAGGAGGGGCTGAACCTGACCTACAGACCATATTCTGTCGATTGATATTCTAGAGCCAAACGCCGTCAAGGGCCACATCTGACTTCTGTCTCACCCCAGAATATTCTCTGGAGTGTCTTCCCCTTGTAAGCCACCTGGAATGGGACCGAAACCGCCTTAAGCCTCGCTAGAACTTCGCCCTTGTTGGCACACAGGGCGTGGGCCTTGGGCGCCCTCTTCAGCTATCTGGACCGGGAGTCCCAGGCCCAGGTGGGAGGAACACTTACCTTCCTGGAGGGCGGGGCATGAAGCCAGGGTCTCAGGACTCTAGAAGAAGACAGAAGAGGGGCTGGGCTGAGTCGCCGTGCTGGGCTCCAGGCTGCAGAGAACACTTGGAGGAGGCAGGCGCTACCTGGGCACCAGCCGGTGGTGGCTTTTCAGGTGTCACCAGAGGAGCCATCTCTGGCCACGGCTCAGGGGAGCTGCCCAAGCTCCTGCTGTCATCCTGCTCTGCCCAGTCAGAGGATGCAGGCTCCACACTGGGGTCCTCAGGGGGCTGCAGGAGACGAGGCGCTGGCTCCGGGGGCCGGTGGGGGCAGGGCTCGGGAGGGGGGCATTCCTCACACCGAAGCAGGCTCAGCAGGTCATCCCGGCCGGCCTCGGTAGACAGTAGCCCGGGGGCAGCGGCCACTTCCTGGGGCGCCAGGCCATGGCCTGTAGCTATATGTAGTGGGCAGGGGCTGCTATCTGAAGACAGGCCCAAGTCGCCAGGCAGAGCCTCGAATTGTCGCACCAAATCCTGGAGGCTTGATCCCTCGAGTTCCATCTCAGTCAGGCTGCCGGGGCCTGCAGGCAGCACGTCCCACGGGCTCTCAGGGGCGGCTTCCTCTGCGGGCTCCAGAGCCTCCAAGTCTGTGGCTGGAGGCTCTGAGGGGGGCTGGGAGGCTGTCAGGAACTCCATGGCTGGAATACAGGCTCAGGCTGTCATCTTAAGGCTGAAAGACATAGTATTAGGCTATTAGACACTTATTGTTTATTTATTTTGGTCAGCTCAGCCCACCCTGAGGGCGGGGCTGGCACAGCATGTGGTGCCTGGGATCTTCGGTCCCCTGCACCTGCCTAAGCTTGCCTAAGGCTGAAAGATGGAGAATAGAACCGGAGGCTTCTGGCTGCTGCTGTCCCCATAGGCCACATTTAATTCCCAGTGTGCCCTGCAGGGCTGCTAGGTCCCCCCTCCCATCCTTTTTGTGTAGGTCTGGGATGGAACCCAGGGCCTTCATAATAAGCTCCATTTCTAGCCCTGTGTGTGTGTGTGTTTGTTGTTGGTCTGTCCATCCTTCCTTCCTTCCCGCAAACTCCCTGCATTCCTCCTGCCTCAGCCTCCTGAGCGCTGGGACCACAGGCGCGCACAGCTATGCTTGGTTGAGGTCTCTATTTTACAGAGAAGCGCACTGAGGCACACGTGGGAACAGCAGCGAGGTGGCAGGCTGCAAACTCTCGGGTGTTCCTTGCACCTGTCACTCTCAACTCTTCCCCGTGGGTGAACTTTGTTCATACCAGCCTTGACTCCTCCGAGCCCTCTTGCCCCGAAACGTGGAACCCGGCCTGGGCACAGTTCTTATAAACCCAGATGCAGGTCCCAGGACCCCAGACTAAAGATTCCCTAGTCTTGTAACCCCAAGCCTACCACCCAAGACACCAAATCAAGAGTTCAGATCCAGAACTCAGAATTACCACCAAAGCCTAAGACACCACAAACCGGACCCCAGTTGAGCGCAGCGCCTCATACTTGTCATCCCAGCACTCTGGGAGGCTGAGGCAGGAGGATCTAAAGTTCAAGCCCAGCCTGGGCAACTTAAAAGACTTAGTGAGATCCTGTCTGAAAATAAAAAATAAAAAGTGCTGTGGATGGAGCTCAGGGTAAAGCCCCTGGGTTTACTCCCCAGTATCGGAAAATAAAATTAAAAAAAAAAAAAAGGCGGACCGGTCTCCAAACTTTCCATAGCACCGACCGCAGACAGACTCGGACCACAGATTACAGCGCCAGCCCTACTTCACCCTCTTCCACACTCACTTTCTAAATCGAGGTCACCTCCAACTCGCGGGGTCCCAAGCACCATTAATCCCTGGCTCAGTCCTGGCATTTCCCGGACAGTGCTGTCAGCAGCTGCAGGTCGCCTACTCCCCGCTTTGGCTTAGCAGTTCGTGCGGCGCCCTGATTCTGGGCATGCGCAGGATCGCGGGGTCTACTGGGAGATGTAGTCCTCAAAGCTAATCCTGCCACAAGAGGGCGCTAGGGCAGCGGCGAATACCGGAGCCTCGTGTTCGAGTTTTAAACCTTCATTCCCGGAAGAGCGCCCAGCTTGTCTCACTACTGCAGAATGGGGCCAATAATCACTGCTTGTTTCTTTTGGCTATGATGGCATATGGGAAGAAATGGAGCTAGTACATAGTAGAGAGAAAAGTAGTTTCTTTGGAACTTTGGGATACTCGGCTGAAGTGTGATAGTTTAAGCAAATTAGTAAGTAAAAGAGGGCAAGAAGCTAATGAAATATCCTTTGAATATCATACAGGAGATAGTGTACAGGAACTGAGCATATATTTAGAAGTTTAATGAAGCCAGATATGATGGCATATACCTGTAATCCCAGCACTCGGGAAGCAGAGGCAGGAGGATCGCTGCGAGTTCGAGACCAGCCTGGGCTATAAAGTGAGCTTACAGCCAGCCTGAACTGCATAGCGAGACCCTGTCTCATAAAAACAAAACAAAACAAAAAGAAACACCACAAACGTTTAATGAGGGCTGGGGATATAGTTCAGCGGCACAGTGCCTGCCTGGCAAACATGAGGTCCTGAGTTCAATGCCCCGTACCAAATTTTAACAAGTCAAAGTTAACGCCTAAGGCTGGGAAAGACTACACTTCCCAGAAGTCCTCGGGAACCTACAACTCCCAAAGCACCCCACCTGACTCCGGCCTGCTGACGTCTCTCCCGGAAACGTGCGCGTGAAAGACGTGGTCGGGATACGTCATGGCGGCCAGACGCCTTTTCATGGCTACCCGTACGTGGGCTGCCTGGGAACCCCGGGAGCTCCCAGACTTCGCTACTCCTGTTAGACTCTTGGTTCGAGATTATGCCAAGAAGCCAGGTGAACTGCGTTAAGAGGGAAGACGACTGGGGAAGGTCGACACACATGAGATTGGTAGTGCGCAGGCGCTGGGTTGCGGGGGCGGGGTTTAGGATTACCGCGCAGGCGCCGGTGTCGGAGCCGCCCTGCGGAGCGCCAAAGCGCCAGCGCCAGGTTGAACCCGCGTGCTTGCGTTTACGTTTACGTGGAGTTAAATGCGTCCCACTGCGCAGGCGTGAGCTGCTAGCGCTCTTAAGGGTGAGGAAAGTGGAATTTAGGTTTCAGTATTGTTTCTATCTCCAGATCGCTGTATGACCCAGGAATTGGAAAAAGACAGGGAGCTTTTTAAAGTTTCATTTTTTTTTTGTTTGTTTGTTTGTTTTTGTTTTTTGACAGAGTCTCACTCTGAGCTTGGTCTTGAATTGACCGTGCAGCCCAGACTGGCTTCCAACTCGAGGCGATCCACCTTCCTCAGCCTACCCTTGCTGGGATACAGGTGTGCGCCACCATGCCCAATCAAAATATTAAACTTCAGTTACTAAGTTTTTATCTGGATACAGCCTTGTCAGATCCCCTCTAATAGAAGGAGAAAATAGGCAAACTTAAAAACCCCTGAAACCGATGGAGGCTTTCTCCATAAGATCAAGCAGAATAGAACTGAAAGCTGGGCATGGTGGTGAATGGCTGTAATCCCAGCCCAGCACTTTGAGAGGCTGAGGCAGGAAGAGCGATACAATTTCGAGGGTAGCCTGAAATATACAGTGAGACTGTCCCAAAACAAAATTTTTAAAAATAGAATTTTAAAGGGAATTCGATGCTGGTTGCTGGTTCTTTTTTCACAGTTACTTTGTAGAGGACAATCAGGTGGAGGTCCAAGGGCATGGGGGGGACAGGAAGGGAGGGTAGGCTTCCCAGGTTGAGCCAGGCTGAAAGGCCCCTGCTCCCCTCGCAGCAGTCATGAAGGGATCCAAAGGCGCCAAAGGCGGGGTGGTCAGCGAGGCCCTGAAGGACCCAGACGTGTGCACAGACCCTGTCCGGCTCACCACGCACGCCATGGGTGTCAACATCTATAAGGAGGGCCAGGACGTGGTCCTCAAGGCGGATGCCGAGTACCCAGAGTGGTGAGTGCCCATAGTCCCCTCCCTGTCCAGTGAGGAAGTGACGCCTGGCCATTGTGGCTGCCCATGGGGTGCCGGGACACAGAGAAGCCCATGAAATGAGGCTTTTTTTTTTTTTTTGCGGAACTGGGATTGAACTCAGGCCCTTGTGCTTGCCAGGGAAGCGTTTATTCTACTGAGCCATCTCCCCTGCCCAGAGGCTTTTTTTCTCCTACATCCGGACCCCTGGCTGTGTCAGGTCCTCTTCTAGGCAGCTGCTGTTAGAGGGGCTCAACACGGGGAAAAACCCCCCAGAGGAAGATGTAACCATGCTTCTTGGAAGGGCAGCGGGAAGGTGCTGGGTGCAGCTGATGGGTCGGGGGTTTCCGGGGCTTCCCCAGGAGCTAGGACCTGAGTGGGCTCTGATGCGCCAAGCCCCGGGGCAGCACGGAACCTGGCGCATTAGCGGAGCCGTGGGGAAGCCGCGCCACCACCCCTGCCCAGCGGCCGCACAGCCCTGACCCTTCCCTCCTCCTACCAGGTTGTTCCACATGAACGTGGGCCCCCCCAAGAAGCTGGAGGAGCTGGACCCCGAAACTCGAGAGTACTGGCGACTGCTTCGGAAACAGAACATCTGGCGGGAAAACCGGCTAAACAAGAACAGGAAGTTCTAATGGGCCAGGAGGGCATGGTGTGCCCTTGTCCTCCAAAGACTGTTTTCTTGGAGAAAACGGACTTGCCAGGATCAAAGGAGGCCCCAGCCTGGTGGGCGGTCCGCAGTGAGGCTGGACCAGGCCTGGGCCCTTAAGAGCTCTAGGCTGGCGCAGTGGTGCACCCCTGAGCCTGAGGCAGGAGGTGCATGAGTTCGAGACCAGCCTGGGCAACTTAGAAGCAAGAGCCTGTCTCAGTGCCACAATAAAAAGACGACCTCTCTCGGCAGCCCTGGAGGCGTCTGCTGTTGAGGCGGCAGTGGGGAGCCGTGCCCCACCGGCCTGTGGGCCCTGGCCTCCACCCGAGTCCGGGCTGCCTCTTGAGCACAGGTAGCCCAAGGCAAGCTGGTGCCCAGGCAGGGCTGGCCGCAGGCATGGCAAGATGCTTCAGGGGTCAGATCTATGGCTGTCAAGCCCAGGGCCTTTTGTCCCTGTGTGTGGCACTCATGGGCAGGAGTGGCCTTGACGTCTGCCAGCACCCTCAGCCTGCTCAGCAAGCAAAGCCTGTGGAGGAACTGCCCCTTCCTGCCAGGGCTGTGGGGGCCTCATGCGTCCAGGGACCTGGCCCTGACCCCCAGCTCTGTGTGATCCTGGCATCTTGTTCTGTGGTCCAAGCCCACAGGTTCAAGGGGCCCAGTTAGATACAGGGCCTCGGGAGGATGCTGTGCTGCAGTCTCTGATGGCCGGGACCCTCCCCCGGGTCCTTCCCACCTGCCGGCAGGTCAGGCCAGCCATCCCTCCCAGGGAAGCGGCAGGGCCCTCCTAGGGAGCGGAGCGCCAGCCTAAGCCCGTGGCCCAGCAGTGCTTCCACCTGTAGGCAGCCTCCCTGTCCGAGCTCTGCCCTGCCTTGAGCAGGTGGCTGTCCCCAAGCCTTGGGGATGCATGGCTGATGGGACAGGTGCGGCCTGGGCTGGGGGCTACCACACAGGGCATCTTAGCCATAGCCAGCACTAACGTGGCCCCAGGAAACTCCCTCCTGTCCCTGGGTCTCAGTTTCCCTGTGTGCCATGGGGCTGACAGCAGTGCTGAGAGCTGGGCTTGGGCATCACTACACTGGCGTTTGTTATTCCTGGGGAGGGGCAGGAAGCCCCCGGAGCCGAGTGAGGTGCTTTGCCCCCACCACAGGGCAGGGCCCATCCTGCGCCTGCCCTTGCTCTTCCACCGAGCTGCAGCAGCGCCTTCCATTTCAAAGCTGTCCACAGGCCCATGTGAAAATGTGGCACGCCTGCGAAGCCCACAGCCCAGACACGGGCCCCAGCCAGGGCTCCGGGGGCAGCTGCATGGCCAGAGGGCAGAAGAACAGCCATGCTGAGGCCTCAGTGACCCAGGGGGCAGCCGCTGCCTCACAGCTGGACTCGATGCTCATAGAGGCCGACTTGGCCAGGTTCTGGAACCACACCGAGGGGCAGGGAGAGGGCTCCACAAGCTCAGCTCCCGCGCCCCAGGGCCCCGGTCTCTGCCTCAGCCTCCACTGGCTCATGAGGCTCCCAGCAACTCCAGCTTACGTTCTCCACACCTTGGCACAAGGTGAGTGTCCTTCATGGCTAGGAAAGCATCTTTCCAGCCAGCAAACTCCTACTCAAACGTTAAGGCCTCAGCTCCTTTACCCCTTTTTCTGGGAAGCTTTTCTTTTCTCTTCTGGCCCTGCCTCCCACTCTGAAGGGCAAAGGAGGTGGTCGCCTCGGCTGCTGGTGCCTTGCAGCTGTCTGCTGATGTGCACTCCAGCCGGTGCAGCCAGGATGTGGTGAAGATCCTGTGGTTGTGCTGGGCCGCCGCTTGGGGCCACCTCACACAGGGCCATCACTGCCTCCCCAGAACACGTCCCCTTCTGACAGGGCAGTGGGGCTGTGAGCGCGGGAGGGACTGCGGGCGGCGACTTCCGGCCTCCAGGTCTCACGCTGTGCATTGTGCCTCTGCTCCCCTCAGCCCAGTGTCAGTGTCTGTCTCTGCCTCAGGTGCTGTTCCCGGTCTCCTCTTTTCCCCTCTTTCTTGAGACAGAATCTGTGCAGTGCAGGCTGGCCTTGAACCTGCAGCAATCCTCCTGCCTCAGCCTCCCCAGTGCTGGGCTGGCGCCCTCTTCTGGCTGCCAGTGGTACATTGAGGGCTGCTTCCCTGGCTCTCAACTGGCACTAGGCCTCCCCCACCAGAATCTTAGAATTTCTCCTTGAGGACAGCAGGTGGTGGCTCACCCATTTCATCCCAGAGCGTGGGAGGCTGAGGCGGGAGGATCACTAGGTGTCCAAGGCCAGCCTGCGCTCCATCGTGAGATCCCATCTCAAAAAATTTTTTTCCTAGTGAGGTGAAGAAGAGCACTGGCGGTGATTGGCACGCATGTGGGCCTGGTGGTCATTGGTATTGTGCCAGCCAGGGTCACACACAGACTGTTCTTAGACTCAGGGATGTCCAAGGACTTTGGGGAAATGGAGTCCTTTAAGGCGAAGAGATTCCTGTTGGCTCCTCAGGACACTGGCCAGGGCACAGGGCGGGCAGGAAGGGGCACTTCTTGAGGATCTTGAGGTACACATAGAGGTGCACTGTTCACTCACTCAGTAAATGTTTATTGAGCACTGCTATTCCAGGTACAGCTCACAGCAGCGAGCAAAACAGACGCCACAGGGCGAGGCCACGTGGGGCAGTGGAAACGAGAGGAAGGTGCAGAGCACGGGGGTGCAAAGGCATAAGCTCCGGAGGGCAGGGCTGTACAGTCGCTTTTCTCTTTCTCCTTTTTTTTTCTTCCCTCCTTTTTTACTTTCTTGTAGTGCTAGGGATTGAACTGAGGGGCTTCACACCGAGCTCTGCCCTGCCTGACTCCCTCTCCCCTTTTGAGATAGGGTCTAAGTCACCAAGTTGCCCAGGCTGGGCCTGCCTCAGCCTCCCAGCATGCTGTGCCATCATGCCTGGCTTGGGTTGCTGTTCTAAGACAGGAGAGGTGGTCAGGATGGGAGGTGGAGCACAAAGCTGAAGGCTGTGTCAATCAGATGCGAAGGAGGGTACTAGGGAGCCCAGAGGGCTACAGTGCAGGAGGCGCCCGCTGCCAGTGGCATTGGGACCATGTCCGCTGTGGTGGGCTGCGGGCCAGGAGGAGGCAGGGCCTCCACAGCACCCTGAGATTGAAGCATTCTCCAGGGAGGAGCTGGAGGCCGCAGGAGTAGGTGCCTCCTCCTTCCTCGGCTGCCTTGTCCTGTAAGGGCTTCCCCTGGCTCTGTGGCACATGGCAGGAAGCTGGGTGAGACCAGTGGCCCCAACAGCCTCAGACACCAGCAGCCTTCTGGCTCCGGCCCCAGGGACTGCTCTGCCTGGTGGCTTCAGAGGTTCAAAGACAGCAGGGCTGAGCAGGCGCTGTCAGCTGAGAGGGGCTGGGGGGGCGTGGGACCCCTGCAGGCAGGTAGATCCTTCTGGGGGGCTGTGGGAAACAGGCCAGAGGACAGGCTTCCAGAGGACACATGGGAGGTTGGTGTGACTTTAGCAAATCTTTTTTTGGTTTTTTGAGATGGCCTTGCTGTGAATTTCAGGCTGTCCTCAAACACCTGGCGTTCTTCCCGCCTCGGCCTCCCAGCAGCTGGGATCACAGCTGTGTGCCCCCACACCTGGCCATCTGTGGCCCCCCACCTGTGCTTCTGCTCTCTGCCATGCAGCTGCTGGTGTCTGCTCTTGATTTGGGCCTCTAGATCCCGGACCCACAAGGGCCAAGCTCTTTCTTGTCTATCTCATGTGCCTTGGTGCTGTATTATAGCAAGAGACAGACTGAGTCAGGACGTCCTGGCCCGGCCCTGTTCCCTCTCTGGGTCTTCAGGCCACCTGGGTGGGGCTGAGAGCCACAGGCCAATGATGCCTAGATGCCCATCTGCCAGGGGCCCACTTATGTCCCTGGACACTTGGCCTTGTCCAAGAAGTGTCACCTGTGAGCTGTACCACTGGGGTGCCTAGCGTCCAGGAGGGCTGGGCACATGGCACATGCTCAGTAGGGGCCAGCTGAGCAAGGGGAGGGTGGGCAGAGGGGTGGAAGGATGGACAGGTGGTTAGATGGCCGAGTTCGGTGTACTCAGCACCTCCACTGAACACCCTGTCCTGTGGGGTCCCCATGGCCAACCCAAGTGGCTCCCACCCCAAACGTTCCCCAGAGAACAGTGTCCCCACAGTAGCAGGCGAAGGGCAAGTTCTGGTTCACAGGCAGTGCTGGGGGGTCTGGCATGGGCCACATAGGTGCAGGACGGGACCTGGGACCCGCAGTACCTATTACCCAATTGCCATTTGGTGGAGACTTGCCTGGAGAGGACCCAGGACACTCCCTTGGTGCACCAGACAGCGGCCACCAACGCTTGAGGAACGTTGTCCCCAGGTGGAGGCGCAAGGGTCACAGAGAGGCAGACAGGCTGCTCCTTGGAATCAGCCTTTACCACGGCGACCGCCCTCCACCCGGGCCTGCACCGTCCACGGGCTGCCCTGAGCCCCCGCAGGCCGGCCCTGCACCCGCTGTCTCGGTCCTCAAAGCCCTGGTCCCACAGGGGCCGGGCGGGACTCAGGGCTCCTGGCTTCGGGGCGAGGAGGAGCCGTCGGCATCCTGTCCCCCGCAGGGGGCCGAAGCGCCTGCACTGCGCAGCTCCCTCGCCAGCTTCTCCGCCACCTTGCGGAAGGGCGGCCGGCGCGCGGGCTCCGCCTCCCAGCAGCTGCCCATGAGCGCATGCACCGGGCCTGGGCAGCCCTCGGGGGGCTCCATGCGGTATCCCTTCTCCACCGCCTCCGACACCTCCTTCAGCGACTGTAGACACAGGGCGAGGGTGTGGGCTGGGGTTCAAGCCCAGAGACTCCCGTTTCCCTGGGGCAACCCCACTCACCATCTTGGGATACGGGGCCCTTCCATATGAGAAGACTTCCCACAACAGCACCCCAAAACTCCAGACGTCTGACTTGCTGGAGAACTTCTGTAGGGTTGGAGAGCCACTTGAGGTGGATCATCCAGAAGTCACCCGTTCTTATCTGTCTGTCTGTCTCTCTCTCTCTCTGTTCTCTCTCTCTCTCTCTCTCTCTCTCTCTCTCTCTCTCTCTCTCTCTCTCTCTCGGAAATATTGAACTCAGGTCCTACACACTGAGCTACACCACCAGAGAGTCTCCATAAGTCATCCAGGCTGGGCTCCAACTGGAGATCCTCCTGCCTCAGCCTCAGAGTGCCGAGAGTTCAGGTGTGGGTACCCCAAGGCGATCCCTACAGGTTTTGGACCCAGCCCTGCTTCCTCCCTAGAACCCTTCTGGGTCCATCCTCCCCCCTTCCTGGTCTCCCAATAGACTCAGCTCCCCAGGCCCTCCACTGTTGGGCTGAGCTAGAGGCCCTGGCCACTTCAGGGATGGGGAAACTGAGGCCAAGAGAGGAGCTAAAAAGAACAACTGTGGGCTCTTGCTTGATAGGCACAAGGCCATTGCCCTTGGAGGTTCAAAAAGGCCCGAGGCTTTATCCAGGGTCACACAACAGAGTTGAGGCCCCAAGGCAGCTCTGAGGATCCCAGTATCTTGCGAGTGGGTGGAGGGTCACAGGGAGGCTCACCCCGTGCTTGAGTGCCTCGGGTGCCGTCCACTTGACTGGCAGCCGGCTCGCGTCCAACCCCTTGCGCTCAGCCTTGGCCAGACCGAAGTCGCTGACCTTGGCCACCAGGTCCTCTGACACCAGGATGTTGCGCGCAGCAAGGTCCCGGTGTACCAGCTTCTTGCTTTCCAGGTACTCCATCCCCTCGGCCACGTGCCTGGGGACAGGTCTCGGGAAGCTCCGGGCTCCTCCCTGCCCTGTGCCTCAGTTTCCCCCAAGCTTGGCACCCATTTCCCCAGAGGGAGCCCCCGACTCACAGCGCAAACTGCAGGAGCTGAGCGGCATTGACGAGGGCGCGGCCTCGCGTGCGCAGGAAGTTCACCAGGTTGCCCTATGGGTGGGTGCATGCCATGGATCCCGCCCCGCTCCCGCCCCCTTCCTCTCCTCCCTCCTCCCTTACACCCCAGACCCCCTTCCCCACCACCACCGGTCAGAGCCGCACCTTGCTCACGTACTCCATGACAATGTACAGGCCCTGGTGTAGGATCACGCCCAGGAGCCGCACCAGGTTCCGGTGCTGCAGCTTCCTGGGGGAGATGCACAGGGGGTGGGGTGAGGTCCCACCGGGATCCCAGCGGCGCCTGGGCCCCACAGCACCTGCACTCACGTCATCACCGCTGTTTCATCTAGGAAGGCTTGGGCTGTCACATCGCACTTGATATTCTTCACCGCCACCTTCTGTCCCAGATACTCGCCCTGCAGGACAGCTGGGGTGCAGGAGACAAGAGGTCAGGACCAGGACACACAGGACATGTGGGCACAGCTGCCCTTCACCCCCCCCCCCCCCGCGACAGAGGATACCATCCAGAAACAAGCCCCAGGGCCCTCCAGGCACCTGGCCCTGAGAGAAGCAGGAGGACGGGGGTCTGCAGGCACTAGGGCCAATCTAGGCCCTAGCTGCTGTCCTCAAAGCCCTGGCTCTCGGAGTGGTTCAATTTTTTTTTTTTTTTTAACGTTTTCTCTTGAACCCAGAGCCTTTTCACTGAGCTACATCTCAAGCCCTTTTTTTTCTTTTTTCTTTCTTCTTTTTTTTTAAATCTTTTCTTGGGGCCAGGGAGATGGCTCAGTGGAATAAGAGCTTCCCTGGCAAGCACAAGGACCTGAGTTCAATCCTTGGTTCCGCAATAAATAAATAAATAATTAAATAAAATTTAAAAAATAAAATAAAATCTTTTCTTTTGAGGCAGGTTCTCACTAAGGCCCTAAATCGCTCAGGCTGGTCTCTAACTTGGACTCCTCCTGCCTCAGCCTCCCAGAGTGCTGTATGTTTTAAAATCATTCAGATCCAGTCATGGTGGTGAACTCTGAAAAGCTGAGGCGGGAGGGTCACAGGTATGAGACCTGCCTGGGCCACTTAGCAACTTAGGGAGATCTGTTCCAAAATAAAAAGGGCCAGGGATGTATTGTAGTTTTTGTAAGGGCCCTGGATTCTATCCTGAGGACTGAAAGAAATGGCCGGGAAGATGGCTCAGTAGGATAAGCACTTCCCTGGCAAGCACAAGGGTCTGAGTTCAATCCCCGGTTCCATTAAAAAAAAAAAAAAAAAAAAAAAGAGAGAGAGAGAGAGAGAGAGAGAGAGAGAGAGAGAGAGAGAGAAAGAAAAGAAATTATCTCAGGCAAGGAGAGACCAAGAAGGGGGACAGGCTGGCAACTGCGGTGTCACCTGGGGCCCAACCCGTGAACTCACTCCCCAGCGCTCCTGCCCTCCTGCCTCCCATGACAACACTGGGAAACTGAGTCTCTGAGATGCCAGCTCAGCCTCCCCCACGCCCCCACAGCACGCAGCCATGCAGGTGAGTCTGAATTCAGCCCGGGTCCCCCACAGCCCGCCTCCGGTCTGCGCCCTCACCTCCAAACTCCCCTTCTCCGATGGGCCCACCCAGGGTCAGGTGCTGCAGGTCCAGCAGCCAGCCAGCTGCAAGCAGAGAGCTGGTCAGGGGAGCACCCGTCCGCCCCCTGCCCCTCTCTCAGGCCCTCTTCCCTGCAGTGGCCTCCGCAGGCTCCTCTTTCCCCTCTAACACTCAGGATCTGCAGCTCGTCAGGCAGGATACACAGTGGTCTCCTGTCCCCAGTCCCCAGACCTTCCTGGGAAAGATGTGGTTCTCAGCGACACCACTATCAGCCTGGAAAGGCTGTGGGGATGGCCAGGGAGTCAAAGGCAAGCACTTGGTTTTGGCCTTGAATAGTGAGCACTGCACACTTCAGGGCTGGAAAAGTATTTGAGGGGAAGGGAACAGAACACACGATGGCCCAGAGGCATTTGGGAAACGGAGTTGCCATGATTTGCCCAGGGATGGGGCATGGAGCAGGCTCTGCAGAGAAAAGCCTGGAAATGTAGAGGCCACAGAATTCTGAGCATGGACATCACAAGGATGGATTTTCATATTAGAAAAATGTCTTGGGGTCCTGGCACAAGGGGCCAGGCTAGAAGGGGACTTATTCAGGAAAAGGGGTGATCATAGGGGGTCTGGCTGGTGTGAATGTCCCTGGAGTGAGGAACCTGGCCTTGGAGGGCATGGGAGGGTAGGCTGAGGTGCCAGGCCATGGTTCATGGTGATGGGGCTGTAGGAGGGGCTGACACAGGGATCTGTTCTGCACCGAGCTTATGGAAACCTGCCAGTGACCCTCTACCACACAGGGCCCCAAACTGGCTCAGGTGCAACAGAGAGTTCCAGGTCCTGCTGTTACCCTTGGCCAGCTCCTCCTCTGCAGACTTGGTCCCCTGCTTCCTCTTGGGCTTCACAAGCTTGGTACAGATGGGTCCTTTGTCCTTGCTGTAATGCTAGGGGAGAGTGGGGTGGCCATAAGCCTGATGAGGAGCAGGGCCACCGCACCCGTCCCTTCCTGGGGGGTCTCTGGGCAGGAGTAGGAGAGCAACAGAGGGGTTCAGATCCCTGCTGATCTGGGCCTGTTTCCATGGGAACAGGAAGAGATGCAGGATGGCTTCTAGGGGATGGACTGGTATCAACTAGAAGTTTGTGAGGGAGCCCGCAAAGGTACCCCAGCCCTAGAGGTGGTATCGGGAAAGCCCGGTGGGGGCCCACAGGGACTCGCCCTCCACCTGGGAAGAAGTAACTCTGGGGTAGGGGTCCCGGCCACCCCAGCCACCTCCACCATGTCCATGAGGTTGCAGAAGCACACGGCCTCGTCGATGGTGAGGTGCCCGTCCCGGTGCAGCACGCGGTAGTGGATGACGTCGCGTCCGAAGCTGACGCACAGCACGTAATCACCCGGGTGTCGCGCGGACTCGCGCACCAGGAACAGTCCGTCCTCGGGCGGTTGCAGCTGCTGCACGGCCTCCTGACCCGAAATCTTCCCATGGAACCACCTGCCGCACGGAGAGGACGCGTGGTCCGGGCTGGGGACAAGTCCATCCGACGCCCCTTGTAGACCACCCTGGGCCTGCCGGACCCGGCTCACTCACGGCATGAGGCTGAGCTTGGGGTCCGCAGAGAGGGCTTCCCGCTCCCGTAGCGCACCCGCCGCCAGCAACCCCTCCTGTCCGCTCGCGTGGTGCTTGGCGCGGTACCAGCTCTTGTTCTGCGGGGGACCCGGGGACAGGGCTGCGGTCGCTAGGGTCCTGGCGCAGCCCTCCAACCCAGCCCCGGCACACTGGCACGTCCTCACCTCGCAGGCCTCCAGGATGGTGACCACGTCGCCCTTGCGGAAGGCCAGCTCCCCCGGCTTGGGGCGCGAATGCTCGCACTTGGTGATGCACTGGGTGCCGGGGGCCCAGCGCCTCTGGGGTGCAGGGGCATCCAGGAGAGGCAGGCAAGGCGGGGGCACAGCAGAGGCAGCAGAGAGATTAGGGCGAGAGCGCGCAGGCCCAGGAACAAGACTGGGAATGGTCGGTGCGCCCAGCCCTCCCCGGGGTGCCGCCGAGGTCTGTAGGTCCCACCGCCTGCAGGGGTGGGGACATGGGAACCCACGCTGGGTTTACTCACCGTTGGCATCCTCGCTGCGATGGGCAGAGGTGCCAGGCGCGGGGGAAGCAGGAGTTCACCTGGGGAAGGGACAGAGTCGAGCGTGGGATGGGGGCGTAGGTGGGAGGCTCCCTCCACCCAGCGCAGCGAGGTGCAGATGACAGCCCGGAGAAAAAGTCCCCCTTGGAGGAAGTGACCTTACCCGGGGAAGCCCCTTAGGCAGTCACAGACATAAAATGCCAACCAGGAAACCACGGAGCTCACCCTGTCTTTGCCCCTAAGGGAAACTGAGGCACAAGACAGGCAAGAGGCAGTGGTCCCAGGCTGGGATGGGGTTGGGGTAATGGCTGGCCCTGGGCCCACCCGCCACTAGCGGTGTAGGGAGCTGGGTGCCACCTGACTGAGCCTGACTCTTCCTCTTTCCTGGTCAGTGACCGGGCTCGGTGGGGACAGAGATGAGTCAAGGTCACTCCCAAGAACCTCTGACCGACCCCAGGGTAGGGCGGGGACAGGAGGCAGCCACTGAGGCAGCGACCCAGTCTTACTGGCCCCTCCATCCCCAGAGGAGCCTCTGCGACTCCCCCTCCCCTGCCTAGTACGGAGGGGCACCCAAGTCCTCTGGGTGGGGCTGAGGGCCCCTGGCTGCCTGTCCAGGTTCCCGGGGCAGTGACGAGGTGTGGGTGGGGGGCAGTGAGTTCCCATTCCCGTCCTGACAAGCAGCCCAGCCCGCGCGTCCTCACGCATACCGATGAGCGTACACACGCGCGCACCCGCAGAGCACACCCGGCTCCCCCCTGCGCGCGCCCGCGAAAGCCACCTGGAGACAGGTGCGCGCGCTCGGTGCCGACACCAGGGACGCGCGCACCTGGCCCGCGCTCCCACACCTGACGTGGAGCCCCTCCCGGCCGGTCTCGCACAGCCCACGTGCACGCGCAGGGAATCGGGGCCGCGCACCCACCCGGGTGGGGTCCCCCACCCGCATCCCGAGCCCTTGGGGTCCCCACCTCCACGGGCGTCTCTTCCCATCCAAGCGCGCGCTCACCTGCTTAGGGGGCGCCTCCGGGCCGAGCCCCGCGACCGCCCCCAAAAGGGGACCCCGCAAGCCGGCTGCGCACCCCGAGGCGGCCCAGGCTGCACAACTTGGATCAAGTTGCCGCTGCGTTTCCTCATTTTGGGGTGGGGGGTAGGGGGGTGGGCAGCCGGAGGCGCCGCGGCCTGGGAGCCCTCGCGGGTCCTAGCGCCGGCCGCACTGCGGTCCGCTCCGCGCGCCGCCGCCGCTGTCGCCAGCCCCTCCCCGCCCCACCCCCACGGCCCCTGGCCCTCCTGCGCGGGCCAGGCCGGGTCCCTGGGAATACTTGGAGTCCCTGACCTTGGCGCCACAGGGCGCGCACGGGCACCCACCCTAGGGAGCTGAACAAGGGTGGTTGTCGGATGGCGGAGCAGGTGGTGCACGTGTGCGCGCTCCCGTGCGCGCACAGGAGGGGTAGAGGGAGGGGTGAGCTGCCCGTCTAGGGAAGTAAGCAACCCACGGAGCCCAGAGGACCCTTCCCATTCTGCAGTTCGGATGTCCTCAGCCTCCTTTTAGGGCCTGTGGCAAAGATCTGTGGGTGCTTGGCAAAGAAAAATAGCGCCCCAAATGCTAGCACACAGGCATCATCAGGAATGGAAACTGGAGCAAAGTTTGCTCCCAGTTGATGGACGCTGCCCTGGGCTGGCTGCAGGATGGCCCAGGGGCGCACAGGATGGCCCAGGGGCGCACCCTCGGCCACACTTCAGTGACACAGATGGGGTGCAGAGGCAGGCAGGAGAGCCCATACCTTTTTATTTTTAATCTTTGAGCTGGGAATAGAACTCAGGGCTTTTGCCCTGAGCTCCACCCCTAACCTTTTTCATTTTTTAGTTTCAGTCAGCATCTCACTAAGTCATGAAGTTGCCCAGCCGAGCCTTGAACTAGATCCTCCTGCCTCAGCCATCTCAGGGATCACAGAGATCACTGGCATGCACCACCATGTCCAGCTGCCTCTGCCTTTCAAAATGTTTCCCTGAGAGGCTAGCATCATTCAGAACATCATATTGTGGAATATTACACAGCAGGGCCCAGAAACCTGTGTGCTGACATAACGCAATACCTTGGTCCCACCTGTGCTACCTATGAAGCAAGTGGAGGCGTGGGGATACCCTCAAAAGGGACACTGCCACCTGCCACACTGGCCACAGAAATAGTTCTCTAGCAGTGTTTTCTCCTCTATTGGCAGGGCTGCCCACAGGGGCATAGCTCCTTGCAGGCTCCCTGCAGCTGTTTCAGCGCCTATCACTCCAAGGAGCTAGCTTTGAGGAGGCCCAAGTGAGGGTCCCCCAAAAGGGTGGGGGACCCTGTGGCTATCACTGTGTGGTCACCTGGGGCCTATGGTCTGAAAGAAGCCTGTAGAGAAAATGAGAAGAGGAAACCCAACAGTGCAGCCTGCTGGGGGTGTGGCTGCTGGCCTGAGGCGCTGGGTTACCCTGGCCCCAATGGAGAGGCTCCCTGACATACCAGGGAGATGAGAAGGGCAGAAGGGGTCAGCTTGCTCTCTCTGTAAACTGATGATCTTGATTTTTCCTTTTCTTTTTCTTTCTTTCCTTTGTTCAAGGTTGGCCTTGAACTCGTAGAGATCTCCCTGACTCAGCCTCCTGAGGACTGGGTGATCAACAAGGGTCCCACATCAGATTGCAAGTGGATTTTGTTGGCGCCAGAGATGTACCTGTAGCCCTCCCCAGGACTCCAGATGTCCCTGAAGGCATGATCCGAGGAACCCAGGGTGTTAGCATCGGGCTGGAAGACCTCCACTGGCAGCCTGGACCACAGAGAGCTGCTTCACCCCTGGTGCGCCACAGCAGCCGTGCCATCTTGAGGCAAACAGACAGACACTGTGACTTACACTGTGATTTATCTGGGTTGGAGGGAATGAGCGCCCCACCCCGGGGACAAAACCAAAAACTGGCCACTTTAAATCTCTAAGATTCAGGAATGGCCAAATAGCTCAGCAGGTTAAAGCTCCAGCAAGCAAACACAGGGGAAGGGGTTCATCCCTGGGCCTGCCGTGATATTGGCCCTGCCCCCAGGGCACGCTGAGATAGCAATTGAGATTGGGCGTGGTGGCATGTACCTGTAATCCCAGCTCTTGGGAGGCTGTAAACAGGCAGATCACTAAGAGTCTGATCTAGTAGTGAGACCCTGAACACCCTGTAGACCCTTCCCTAAAAATACATTAAAAAAAAAAAATCTTTAAATCTCCAAGATTCCATGGCTCTTGAAGTTCCCAGGGGTGGCAACCCCACGGTCCTGCTTCTAGCCACCTAGCTGGGCTGGGGGAGGGGATGGGGAAGGCAGGGCTACACCTTGAGACTGGACTTCTGGTAAGCCCAGTCCCCAGCAGGCTTGTGACCTTGCTGTCACTCGCCCTCCCTTGTAGAGCCAAGGAGTGGGATGTGACCATGCTCCTCCCTTGCTCTAGATCCTTCCATAGCTCCCTTGCACCTGTAGGACGGAGCCCAAAGAGCTCTCCTTCTCCTCCCAGTGGGCACCCAGCACTCCAGCAACCAGTTGCCAGCAGGAATTCCTTGCCTGGAGTTCCTCCTTCCCACATCTGGGAATCACTCCCCTCCTGACCATGGCTCACCAAATTCCCAGAAGTTATCTGCACCAAATTTCTCCTCTGAGGTTTGGGGGGCCCAGAGAGGTGATAACACTTGCCAGTGGCCACACAGCTGACCAGGGCCAAAACAGTCTGCAGATCTCTCTGGTAGATAACTGACTTCTCCTTGCCTAATGCTGTCATAAATCATAACAGGTATGGAAAAAGTGACAGGCCCATTACACAATGTATCATTTAAGAATCTGAAATCCTACATGCTTGAGTTAGATGGAAATGAATCTAGCACACAAATTTCCAACTCTAAAGTGGCTGCTCTAGCTCCACCCATTGCATCTGTCTTCCCAGCCAATAGGAAGGAGGAAAGGGGCAGCAGATAAGGGACCAACTCTTCTTTTTCTCCCTCTTCTTCTTTTTTTTCCGGAACCGTGGATTGAACTCAGGCCCTTGCGCTTGCCAGGGAAGCGCTTATTCCACTGAACCATCTCCCGAGCCATATCCCCAGCCCTTTTTTTTTTTTTTTTTTTTTTTTAAACGGGGGACTGAACTCAGACCCTTATGCTTGCCAGGCAAGCACTTATTCTACTGAACTATCTCCCCAGCCCCCCAACTCTTCTTTTTAAGGACTCTTTTTGAGATCATTTGATGTGTCACTTCATCACAGTATATGGAATGTGACCACAAGACTACACCCAGGAGCAGGAGAACCAGGAGACAACTTTAGACCCAAGGCCAAGGAAGAGGGAGAGTTGTTTTGTTTATTGGCTGTATCCTCTTCTGAATGTCATTTCCACAGGGTAAGCGACCTGGACCCAGTCACTCTGCTGTGACCGTAGCACCTAGCCAGCACATAGTAGGTCCTCAAAACAGAGCACTTAAGGGTCAGTCAGATAGCTCAGAGGACTAAAGTGCCTGCTCAGGCAGAGCGCAGCAGCTGGGGTTCAATGCCTGGCCTGCCATGCAGGCCCTGCCTCTGAGACTTGCTGAGACATGGATTGAGATTGGGCATGGTGATGCATGCCTGTAATCCCAGCACGTGGGAGGCTGAAAACAGGAGAATCACTACGAATCCAATCTACATAGTGAGACCCTGTACTAAAAAATACATCAAAAAAGAGGGGCTGGTGAGATGGCTCAGTGGTCTAAAGCACCTACTTAGAACAAGCTTATTAAAAAGCACAGGGACCGCGGTTCAATCCCCCAGCAC